AAAAAAAAAAAAAAAAGATCTGATTCACGGTACAGTTTGAATTCCTGTTTTCTGATTCAGTTCACAACACATTTGTTCTTTAATCGTACAAAAACATTTGAAATGTGTCTTCTTTTTTTGTTGTTCTAGATCATTGAGATGTTCATCAATGAGACATGGTTTCAGCGCTACAATGAACCAATCACCAAGAACTCCCTGACGGCCATCTGGTCCATCTCTGTCTCCATTTTCTCTGTCGGTGGCATCATAGGATCCTTCTCTGTCGGACTCTTTGTCAACAGCTTAGGACGGTAAGTACCGGATAAAATCCTTGCTGGTATTGGAATAGCTCAATAACTGCGGTCAAGAAAAAGACTGTACTGCAGACAATTTGTTTTAGTGAACTTTTTAATATATATATATATATATATGCATGTACCGTTACTAAAAATAGATAAATAAAATATACATCACTTTGCTTAAGCGACAATAACCATCTGAGATTGAACGGATTCACTTATTTCTCAGTTTGATATAATCAATCATCACCAAATGTTAGCAGCTATTAGGAACTAGCACATAGAAAACATTTAAGTCAAGTGTGGTCAAGTTTAAAAACAAGCAGAGTGCTGTGCAATAAAAGAAGACACCATGTGAAATAACAAGAACAATGATGAATTAACAAATTCGAGCATAAAATAAAAATGGTATGATTTGGATTAAAATAGTTTTTAACATTGAATTAGGGCGTCTAGTAGATGGATCCAAGATAAAATCTCTCTATCGATTTGAACAATAAATTGAAACAAACTTCCTGGTGGCCACATGGTCTCAAACAAAACAAAGGGATTTCAGCTGAACACACTCAGACGTTATATAACCTTCCCATTGACTCTCCTCCTGTGCACACACAGGTAAAAGGTCCTTCCTGTGGATCACTCTCTTTAGAGGTTTCACGGATGTGATGTTGTTCTGCAAGTTCCAGGAAAAGTCATCGCTAGTTTACTTTTCCATTATTACATAATTAATTACTAAAAAATAAATAACCTCTACCAGCACCAGGACAGTAACATGGTAATTTAATAACTGGAATAAGTGGATTTAGTGTTAAGTTGCTCTTTCATAATGTTTTTATTAGGATCCACCCTCTTCCCAGGTTCCACATAAAAACACAAACAATGGAGAAAAAAATAATATTGTACATTACGACCAGAAGATAGTCAAAGTCAACCTTTTTGTCAATTCTGCTTTGTACAGGACATGGATGGGATTGAAATGCCGTTTCTCTCTGATCCCCGGTGTAAACATATAAGTAGACAGAACATATTAAGTACTCAAAACATAGTACAACATAGTATGGAGTCAAGGGCACACAGTGCATAGGATGAGAGTAGTGCAAATAGTATAGTTTGCGTTACTCTCCTCCGTGTGTGAAATGCACTTTGCAGATATACAAGCAGAGTAGTATGTGAGCTACTCAAGAGTGTCAGCAGGCAAATCTACAATGATAGAAATAATCTATAAAGATCTTTTTTATTTGATTGAATAAGTTTCCAGCTGAGACAATGGTCTGTAGTCACACACAGGAATAGAAATATAAGATCACATTAACTCGAGAGCTGTCACATCCACAAGGAAAACAAGAAGTTACGTCACAGGTTCAACTTGCAGGTTGAGGAAGTGTAGAGAAATGTAACTTGAACTTGTTGTGTTCTGTGTCGTCTTCAGGAAGAACTCCATGCTCATGGCTAACATCCTGGCCTTCATCGCCGCTGCTTTCATGGGCTTCTCAAAGATGGCGAGCTCCTGGGAAATGCTGATCATCGGTCGGTTCGTGATCGGCCTCTACTCCGGCCTCTCCACGGGCTTCGTGCCCATGTACGTGGGTGAAATTTCCCCGACGGCCCTGCGAGGAGCCCTGGGCACGCTGCACCAGCTGGGCATCGTCCTCGGCATCCTCATCGCACAGGTTGGTGCCCCCTTGTTGCACCAGAGTCAGATGTTTGGTCATTTATACAAATGCATTGCAGAGGCTTAGCAGGTGATTCATGTCTGGATTGTGTGGGTTGGGTTTAGGTGTTTGGAATGGAGGCGTTAATGGGAAACCACAGCTTGTGGCCGCTCCTCTTGGGCTTCACCTTCATCCCAGCTGTGGTCCAGTGCGTCCTGCTGCCCCTCTGCCCCGAGAGCCCCCGCTTCCTGCTAATCAACAGGAACGAAGAGAACAAGGCCAAGTCTGGTGAGTTCTTCACATCATAGAAATGGATGATGCGCCTCCACTTTCTCTCATGGAGCGAAAATTAAACTTAAATTTCCTTGCCGCCAACGATTTTGCACCTCTGATCGTGGTGTGGAGCTGCAGGTACAGATACCGTCAGTCTGTCAGTCATTACGTTTCACCCATTTTATTAGCATTAAATAAACTAAAACCAAACTTACTGGAAGATTAAACACTTGAAGTACTTAAAATTACAGAAACCCTCGTTGAGAAAAATGTTTTTGATAATATAGAGGTAGGGTTTATGACATTCTGCAGCCAACCACCAGGCCAAAGACGTTTTGGCTTCACTTTTAGGAGCTGTCTTGTTTCAATGTCTTTAAATCTGTCTGTGGTTCACATACATGAAGTTGATGTTATTTAATATAACTGCTGTAGACATAATCGTCAGAAAACTAAAGAGAAATGTAGCTGAACTGGTTTTTCTCTGCACGTTTCAGTGCTGAAGAAGCTCAGAGGCACCACCGATGTTAGCGCTGACATGCAGGAGATGAAGGAGGAGAGCCGGCAGATGATGAGGGAGAAGAAGGTGACCATCAAGGAGCTGGTTATGTCGCCGCTCTACCGCCAGCCCCTCATCGTCGCCGTCATCCTGCAGCTGTCTCAGCAGCTGTCTGGCATCAACGCTGTGAGTTTCCCAGACGTCATGTTATTGTTCACCGTGAGAACCGCCGCTGAGGTTCTGAGGAACGGACGCACAAACCCTGTAGTAACCATCACTTTGTTTATTGTCGTATCTTTAGGTGTTCTACTACTCCACCCAAATCTTTGAGAGAGCCGGGGTAGAGCAGCCTGTCTATGCAACCATTGGTGCCGGTGTCGTTAACACAGCGTTTACTGTGGTGTCGGTGAGTAAAAAAGTTTTAACAGTACAGATTTAAAAAATGCAAAATGTAGTATTAGGCCCATATTAAAGAAAAATATATTCTGAGATTTGTAAAAAGTCAAAATTTTATATATACTAATCAGATACTTTATTTTCATTGTCTTAAGGCTTTTTCTTTTAATATTACAACTTTATTCTCGTAATATTTGGACTGTTTTCTTGAAATTGTTGTACTTTAGAAATATATTTACCCAGAAATGACTCGGTGCTGTTCAAGATACTAAATTGATGTTTTCGGACTTATCTGAGGTTGTAAATGTTAATTGCTCCTGTGTCTGCAACCAATATTCTCAAAATCATTTTTCATTAAACACTATGAGGATTTGTCAGATTTTACATGAATAGATATAAGTTTTTACATGTAGTACCAAAGCAAATGTTCTCTATTTTTCCTGAAGGAATGAATTAGCAGAGGTTGAATCAGTGGGTTGTGTAGTTTATTATTTTACTTCATTGGATTTGTTCTTTTTTTTGTAGCTGTTTGTTGTGGAACGTGCAGGACGTAGGTCTCTGCACCTGCTGGGGCTGATGGGAATGGCTGTATCTTCCGTCCTGATGACCATTGCCTTGGCTCTGCTGGTAAAAACAACAAACACGTCTTATTAGAAATGCAGTGATTGCTCTAAAATGACACTGAATAATCTTTCTTTAACTTTCTTGTGCTCTGGTCCTGTAGGACGATTACAAGTGGATGTCGTATCTGAGCATCGTGGCCATCTTCGCCTTTGTGGCGTTCTTTGAGATCGGACCGGGTCCCATCCCCTGGTTCATCGTGGCCGAGTTGTTCTCGCAAGGACCCAGGCCTGCAGCCATCGCTATCGCTGGTTTGTCCAACTGGACCGCCAACTTCATAGTGGGAATGGGCTTCCAGTATGTACAGGTGAGTTGAGAACACGAGGAAACACTGGATCAAGTTACTGTGAATGATTTTTTATGTACTTTTTTATTATTCAGCAGAAAACAAGAAAACATTCTTCTAGTTTGGGTTTGATTAAAAAAAAAAGTGCAATATTAGAGGAATTTTCCTGAACAAACAACATTAATTAAAACTTTTTCTTTTCCATTTGTTTTCCAAATTAGAGAATTTGTAGAATCCATCTTACATCCTCACCTTCACTGAACCTACGAAGACGCCGGTAAATAACCGATTCTCCTCTTGAAATCTCTTTACAGGAAATTTGTGGCCCCTACGTGTTTGTCATCTTCGCTGTGCTGCTGCTCTTGTTCTTCGTCTTCACCTACTTCAAAGTGCCGGAGACTAAGGGCCGGACGTTCGACGAGATCACGGCCGGCTTCCGCCAGACGGCTGCCACGGGCGGAGAGAAGCACTCACCGGAGGAGCTCAACAGCCTGGGGGCTGATTCTCAGCTCTGAGCGACAGTTTTCCAACCTTCCAACAAACTTTTTCTTTCTCAGACCGGGTGGGGAGGAACGACTGACTAGACGTAGGCGGAACCATCAGTAGAATAACTTTCACACTGTCACCACATTTCGGGCGTCGTCACCGAACAAGGAAAAAAGCCCAGCGGGATTCTCCCAACATGACATCTTCTGCTGCCCCTTCCACGTCACGCAAACAATCTCAAACTCAGAGGGCGCTGTCGCCTGACATGCGGACGAGGGGACGTGAGGATAGATTGGGAAGATTTTAACTATTTAAAAGAAGGAAAATTAATTCAATCCAGAACCTTTTTTAAATATTTGTTTCACTGAATTTATTATTTTATCTGCATATGCTCTGTTCCTTATAGCCTGTTACAACAATACAGCGCTGTAGCTGTAGAATCCATTCACTGTGCAAAAAGATACTTGGTTGACCGTGCTGTAAAGCTGTATCACTGTAGACTCGCACTGTAGATGCTGCACAGCTGTACGTTGTCTCCACCAGGTGGCGCACTCCCCTGAAGAAAAGTTTTTGCACCTTTTGAAGTTACTGAGAACACAATCTGTTTTGTGTCTGCGAGGATTCTAATGGTTGTGATCCACATTTTTACACAGATTTGTTACTTATGTACTCTGGCTCGATAATATTTTACTCTTTTTACAACTGTTACGGAAATTGGCATTTTATTTTGGGTCATACCAACAAAACTTTCCGATAGATCAAGAAATCTAGTCAGCACAGTTGATGAAATGAATATCACGGCTGCAGAGGAGCAGCAGTATCTGCACAGATCTGTAGCACAGTGCTGAACTTGGCAGTATGAATAAATCATAAAAAAATTGTTTTACTATAACATGATGTTATAGTACACACTCGGCAATCAGCAGCCACACGACCACAAATCTCTCACAAAACCAGAATGTTTGTGAGTTTAAGTGCCTGTCGAAAACAATCCAGCCTCCTCTGCCTCCAGCTCGTCGCAGCTCCGGGTCAGAACCAGACATAAAAATTTCTGTCAGTGGAAGATCTTCACTTTTCTTCACTTTTAGCTTCTCTGAGCTGAGATCACCAGCCTCTAAACGTCTGGTGTCTGGGATCTTTTCACACAAACCGGAGCTGCAGGCTGTTCCTCTTCAAACAATGACGACAGGGTATCTTCAGAAAGAGGCAGAAGGAGACAAAAAGGGGACCAAAATGAACGTCAACCTTTTGAAAAAAGGCTTTTATTTTCCTGAAAGTGCCTGTTGGGTCAAACTCCCAGTGTCCCTGAACACTGAACAGTATTGTGGAGCTCGCTCTCTTTTCAGTTGCGTAGTGTCGCCTGGCTCACTTTGCTGTACAAGTCAACGACTGCTGCGTCACGTGTTTCTTCTCTTTAAGTGCATCGTTTGGGGAAAGTTCTTCTGTTGTAGCCGCACTTTATTCTTCACTGAGATGTTTATTCATCATCTTTTTTAAACAGTGTGGTAACTTTTACTGTAGAGAGACTGAAGTACTGCTGATGGATTACTTGTTGTTTTGAAGTTGTATGTCTATGTATCTTCTGTTCACACACACACACACACACACACACACACACACCCCAGAGGTCAATTGTTCAATTGTTAGTGAATGCAGTTATATTCATAATCTAATCAGGAATTTGATCCAAATCTAAACCCAGTTGTCACAAGCAAGTTTAATCATTCCATAATTGTTCATTATTGTACATAGTAGATCTTTATAGTTTATATATATAAATATATTTTTTTGACTGGGTCAACTCACCTGTCCTGGAATGCACTGTAACATCCACGTCTCTGTACCTTTTTGTGACTTTCACATCACATCACCAGCAAACTTCTGCGATGGCACCAAAACGCACGCCCCCCCACACACAGATGATGTCTACTGCATATATCTAAATTGTATTTCTGTTGTTGTACATAGATTCTGCGTGGGCATTTCATTTTTCATGTAGCCTCATGGTCCAGTTCGGTGGTCAAAAAATCAGTGGAAGATGTAAATATGATGCACATTACAGCCTTACCCGCTCCCAATTCATAACATATTTAATATTTAGGTTTTATTTTTTATTAATAGATAAATTAATGATTAGTGTAGTGTCGTAAATCTCTTCCGCGCTATTTACTTTTTTTGATTTGCCATCTGAGGATATTGTGGCCTAATAACTTTTAATCATTTTTATTCAGATTTGCCATTGAAGGATTGTTCCAATGAGATGTAGTCGGTAGCTTTTTAGTGCACAGAGCATATTCTAATGTTTGTAATAATAAAAGTTTTGTGTGAGCCTCTGCTGAGGGAAACCATACATTGTGATGGATGGTGATGTGAACGCTTCTACAGTTTTGTATAAGTGATTTAAAGGCTGAATAAAAGAAATCATGCACATCTGATGTTTTTGACTTTTCTTTAAACTCACAGTTTCTGTTATCCACCTGGGGGCAGCAAACTACAACATTATTGCTTTATAGCTACAGAAAACCTTTTTGGGGGGGGCACATTGTGACTGATGAGCTGGTGTTGAATGTGAATTAGAAACAAAGACTGACGGTCTGTTCCATTCCGTGTCGTCCAGTTTTGATACCTGACAAGAGATAAAATATACATATGTCTTCCTTCCCCTATTTGAATATACCGACACACAAATTCTACAGGGAACAAAATGTCCTCTGTTACACACACACAGATCGAATGAATTGCTTTCCTTCTATGTTTTTTGTGTTTAGTTTCTTCCTGTCACTGTCTCAAAATGTAAATTATATCCAATGTTAATTCATGTCTCACCAGTTATGTCACATTTCTTCAAATCAAAAGGGGGAGAGAAGATTGTTATGAATTGTATTCAGTACTTTGTGTGACTTCTCATCTAGACTTCAGATCCAGTCAGTCACACATAAAGACTGTTCACCAGTGGTTGCACAAGAGATAGAGGAAACAGATTCACCTGGATTTTGCTTTTTCTTTGCATTGCATTGGTCAGCTGTGGCTCAGGGGGTTCAGCGGTTGTCCGCTCACCAGAGAGTGGGCCGTTTGATCCCTGTCTCCCCCCTGCTCCTTGTCCTTGGGAGCCAAACATCTGAACCCTAAACAATGTGCTGGCGAGTGTGAGTGATGTGTGATGGAGAAAGTGCTGCACACGTAGATAAACTGTATGAATGTGTATGTGGGTTTGTTTTGTTCCCAGAACGAGACTGATGGAGCGGTGAGGGACAGAACGGAGCTGGGGACAGTATCTATCTCTGGATTTATTACTACAAGTGATGCGCTCCACACATGAATCTATAGATGTATGACAATATCGATCATATAGCAGCAAAGCATGGAATCAATTTTTCAGTGAACAGCGGTACCTCAGGGGTCGTCATTTGATTAATATGAGCTGATAAGACCCTGACAACTCTTTAACTAGAAACTGAAGCTTGGATCATTTTGATACAACAATGTGAGATAATTTTACCGTTGGCCATATTGATGATAACTGCAGCTCACAGCTACAAGCCAACTAACGCCCACTCATATTTAGAGATGACTCTGGGATGTGACTGATTCATGATAATAATCATTATTACACTTCCTGTAGAAAACACTGTAGGTATGACAGGATGCGTCTCCCAGCTCAGCTCATTGCTTCAAACTGGCCTCTATTAAAGCAACACTCTGTCATTTTCAAGGACTAAAGGAACATTACACAGTTTTCAAGAGCGAACTGACACTGCTGCAAGATGATGAAATAAAGTTATCTACATCTAAAATGTTTCGTCCACAGTGAATATTCCAAATTACCTAAAAGCTGCAGTTCAAAGAGCACATCCTCTGAGAATAATATAAGAACAAGTGAGAAAATATAATATATTATTCTTGCCTCATTCGGGAAATGCACTGATGTTAACCTCCAGATGAATGACATCACTCGTGTTCTCCAGCCGACTTTAAAGGTCGCACCCCTCTCGCTCTTGATGTTCGTTTGTTCTCGATAATGTCTCGTTCTACTCTGATCGATGCACAGTAGCAGCCACACACCTGCAAAACACTAGAGCCCAACATTTATCCATCATCTGTGACCTTTCTGCTTTAGACCGATTGCAAACAGCCACTTAAACTGCAGAGAGCAAACAACCGAAACACATTCTGAAGCTCTGGTGTGTTCCTTTGCATTTTAAACAATTCTCAAGGTCGCAGAGAGCAATACACTGAATAATGAGATACAGGAAAGACCCGGGCAAATGCAAGCATTTGAATATGTTTGATCCCACACTGGCACATGAGCACTTATGGTCCAGACAGACAATGAGGCAGCCAGAACCTCCAGGGTGGAACAAAGCAGAGACGCTCTCAACGCCGGGACCCTGGGCGCAGCTTCCATATTTCCCTCACTTGTAATTACACACATAAATCCCTCCCCCCCCCTGCTTGATGGATCGGATAAACCAGTTCAAAGGCATGTCTGCTATATATAACTGTGACGTTGTTTGATGTGCTGCCATTATTGATTTCAGCAAGGGGAAGGAGGGAAGGGGATGAAAACCTCAGCAGGGGGAATATGTGCAGTACACAGGGTGAGCCCACCCCTATTAAAAAGCAAATTTCCACAATCTCCACAGATTACCTCACATGTATGTGTGTAACTGCTGTGACCACTGGATAATCTGTTTGATTGTCCTCTTTGTTGACTAATCGCATGCTAATGTGCATTAAAACACATCCTCACTTTGTGTTTGATGTGATTCTATCAGAAGTATTAGTGTCAAAAAAACAAAGTTTGAAAATAATCCTGAATCTTTGACACAGCTGAGATGTGGATTATATAACGGGCTGCAAATCAATATCTGGCAGCGGCGCTTGATATTTTATACATTCAGTTACTTTTCTACGTGTGAACACAAGCTCACGAACCCAGAGGAGCCGAGAGGAACAGGATTTAACTGATGACGAAAATGAGAAGGAGGTGAAATCGATGCTTGAATATTGATGAGGTGGGATGTATGTG